GCCTGTCAATTTCCCGTTCCATCCTTCCCTCACTCGTGCACAAGACCCCAAGATACTTGAACTCCTCCACTTGAGGCAGGAACTCTCCACCAACCTGAAGGGAACAAGCCACCCTTTTCCGGCTGAGAACCATGGCCTCGGATTTGGAGGTGCTGATTCTCATCCCAGCCGCTTCACACTCGGCTGCAAACCGCCCCAGTGCATGCTGGAGGTCCTGGTTTGATGGGGCCAACAGGACAACGTCCTCTGCAAAAAGCAGAGACGAAATCCTGTGGTCCCCAAACCGGACTCCCTTCGGCTCCTGGATGCGCCTAGAAATTCTGTCCATAAAAATAATGAACAGAACCGGTGACAAAGGGCAGCCCTGCCGGAGTCCAACATGCACTGTAAACAAGTCTGACTTACTGCCGGCAATGCGAACCAAGCGCCTGCTCCGGTCGTACAGGGACCGGACGGCCCTTAGCACCGTGGCCACACCCCAGAGCACCCCCCACAGGACGCTGCGAGGGACTGGTCGAAATGCCTTCTCCAGATCCACAAAACACATGTGGACTGATTGGGCAAACTCCCATGAACCCTCCGCCACCCTGAAGAGGGTATAGAGCTGGTCCAGTGTTCCACGGCCAGGACGAAAACCGCATTGTTCCTCCTGAATCCGAGGTTCGACTATCGGTCGAATTCTCCTCTCCAATACCCTGGCATAGACTTTCCCGGGGAGGCTTTGTTTCACCAATGACAAAAAAGGACTCTACAGTAGTACAGCTGTCAGAGGAGATGACGTTACAGCACACTGCCAGTTGACCTGCAGCAGCATTAAAGGAATATGTTGACTACACAACAAGGCCTCTGCCTCTGAAATGATCAGTAATAAAAAAAACAATGACATTCTGCACTTAAATAATCACATACTTTAGAAACGGGTGTTTCAATACTAGAAAAACACAGACTGAACTTTTTAGCACATCCCTTTAAGTATACTTGAAGTCTTTTCAGTAAACACTGTATGAAACAAATACTCAAGGACAAACTCTGCTGAAAGCTCAGGCGACACTGTGTTTACCACCACTGTGTTTACCACCACTGTGTGTGCTCACGTGTCATAGTGGGACTCAAATTTTGGCACCATTCACAGTATGGAAGTCAACGTTGTCTAGTGTTACAAGGAGGTAGCCGGTATTCACTTTGTAAATGTAAATACATTACTGTACATTAAACTTGTCTGAATAAATAACAGTGACTGTGTTCCGCAGTTTTTTCTGATCCCGTTGAGTGTATTATACTGTATGATGTTGTGGATCAAACCAGACATAAGTTAGTTGCATTGCTAATACAGGATAATGACTGACCGAATACACAGTGCTATAGTGAACACAGTAAACAAAGCGCATGCTATCATTGTCAGTGTGCGGCTAGCTGTGTTATATCCATGTTAGCATTTGCCTGAAAGTGCAGCTGTACATGGTACAACCTCACAAGGCAGCTAGCATGGCTGTAGCTAACACTTGACTTAGTCTTAGAGGTTTTGTATAACATCCGCTGGTAGACATGCTTGTAGAACGCTTATGAGAAATCTATGCAAAATGTGTAGTAGTTTAAAAAGGCTGCTATTGTTCGCATAGTTTCTTTATATAATTGTTTTGTCTAAATAGTATTTAGAGATGGAAGCTACTGTGATATTCACTCTTCTCCTTCTGTAATTACTCATCATCTGGGACTTGAATCTCTGGTTCTAATTGAATTTTTAAACCAAGGCACACTTGTGTTGATGGCTCTTGTTTGGAGAAAAATCATGAAAATAGTCACAAAAAAAATTTCTTTACAGAGCAGATGGATGCAAGTGAGAATGACTTAACCAAACTGTAACGACAGATGAGGAAATACAACTGCAGTGTGAAGTACCTACATTTGTTTAATGATTGGTGACAGTGATTAATTAATGATTAGTGACATTACCAACACTAACATTTTCAGATCTATTGTCTCTGCTCTCTTCAGATATCTGACTCGCCAGCATCACCTTTGCCCTTTGGCTGCCTCCATTTATCATAGAAGGATTCCTCATAGTCTCCCTGTCCTTCAAACTCAATATCGGGAGACTTGGGGGCCAAAAGCGCAGCTTCCTCTGGTCCTAGACAATCCTGGAAAATGCAATCCAAAATCAGTCAACGGTCTTGGAGGTGTTTTAAAACATGTTACCGTACATGTTATACTAATTGATAACTACCAGGCAAACTGATTAAACTGTGTTTGTGCTATAAGGAAACAAATTCATAAAGGATTTCTCATGTTTTTCTTCATTCATTTACATCACTGGTAATTTAAAGCTTTTTGTTTCATGTCACCAAAGAATGGTAGTACTATACTAGTTTAGTGTTAATCTCACCTCATCACCCAATTGCAAGTACTTCTCTGCAAATTTCAGCATCTGCTTTTGAGTGACAGTCTGGTTGTGGTGTTGAAGAGCCTCCTGTTTAAACACAAAACCAAGCTAATTATGTGTCTGCCAGTTTCTGCCTCAAACTGGCAAAGAACAAATGGTTTTCAGCAGATTCAGTACTGTAATTAAATGACTATTGATGGAGGTATAATGCTGCATTCATGTCATATTGTTTAAACTGTAATCATAAGCAACTGTGGGGAAAAAGGACACGGACCTGAGCTAATTGTATAAGAGCTTTGCACTGTTGGGATCTGGTTTGACCTGTTAATGAACTTCTACAATAAGTTTAACATAACACAACAAAAGTAGCTAATTTAGGTTGTGTGTATGGTGTGACTACAAAGCTAGCACTAGAGCTAGCCACCTTTCAATAATGCATGAACACTCCCAAGTCAGATGGAGAATGGTTTTCCTTCTCTTCCCATTTCCCAACATTGAGTGCAGCATAGTTGTGGATCTTGGTCATGTGCTTGCTCTTGAAGCATTATGATGTGGAGCTAATGGATGAGGACTACTTTCTATCTTCTTCAGTTTTTAGATCTGTGTCATTGTAGTGACAGGTGATACTAATGTTTGGACCCCTTTCCTCTCACCATTCTTGGTGTGAAGTGGTCAGAATGAATGCCCCACTGTTCGCCGTAGGCCTTATAATACAACAGGTTCTGCTTCATAACCTGGTCTTCGGGTTCAAGCAGGAAGTAACTGTATGCACAGGGTACCGCGCTGCAGCCGTCATTCACTGGGCAGACACACAGTCGAGTGTTAATAGGCAATGCTATGTTGTACAAGAACGGTGATAAAGGCTCAATTGTATCACTTTTCTTACAAGCTGACAGAAAACGTACACTTGTAATAAGCATACTGGAGGTGGTGGTAAATAGTGGCCACAAATTTCTCCACAAAATAGCCTCCAACATTATCAGGTTCTCTTCACACTTGAGCTTGCACCTTAGTATGTTGACATAGGCGTCTGTGGAATGACAGAGCAGAGAACATATGGTAAGGTATGGTGAAAACAGACTAGAACACCAGGACCCAGTACATAATTCAAAATGGCAACCTATTTCTGGAAATAAAAGAATTAAAATTCTTACATTAAAAACTTAACATTTCTTAAGATTTTCCTCTTAAATCCATTTTGCTAAGATTACTTCACTACTTAAATTAAATTAAGATTTATTTGGTATTTGTCATACATTGTGAATTTTGATATCCCATTTGTTAATAAATCGTCCATACTACCCTGCTATGACTGCATAGAAGTCCCTGTCTGATACGAGTTGACTGAGCCCTTCACAGTCCACCTGACACAGCTCATACTCATGAAGGTAGAGCCTCAGAGCTTCCTCCAGGTGTTTAACACTGCTGCTGTAGTCGCCTGAACTGATGAGGGTCACTCCTCTCAGAAAGGAGGCCTACAAAAGGAATTGTTGATACGGTCAGAGGAACCTGTGCAAGTCGGCACCAGTAGCTGGTTTGAGGGAGAAATGTAGTTCGGATGTTTTCTGACTTTTTCTGTAGTAGTGGTTTTGCACAGAGATTGGATATTGAAATGATGAATTAATCTGTGTGACTATATTATGCTGTGTTTCCTATACAGAGCATGTTTTGTGAAGGACCGAGGCGAGGCTGTCCTCACCTCATACGGTCGTTCTTCCTGGTCGATGAGGTAACCGCTCAAGTCGTACTGTTTCTTGTATTGCTCCATGAGCTGGAGCATGTCCTGGTCCTCAGGGTTCCTCTGGAGGAAGGTGTAGGCACATGGGACAGCCCTCTGCAGGTCACCTAGCTGTACAAAGTGAATGATCTCACTATCAGGTTTTTGTTTCTTGTCTTTCAACTTGAATTGAACTGGTGAAGACAGGAGGTACGTTACAAAATTTCTCATTATTTGTTAATTTTCTTTGTTTACTGTTGTTTTGGAGCTTTTGCCTTTGATAGATTTATGTATGAAGGACCTAGAGAAACCCCTATTGATTTTATGATTCCCAGTTTGTTGGTAATCCTTGAATCCGGCATCAGGTTCTCTTCACACTTGAGCTTGCACCTTAGTATGTTGACATAGGCGTCTGTGGAATGACAGAGCAGAGAACATATGGTAAGGTATGGTGAAAACAGACTAGAACACCAGGACCCAGTACATAATTCAAAATGGCAACCTATTTCTGGAAATAAAAGAATTAAAATTCTTACATTAAAAACTTAACATTTCTTAAGATTTTCCTCTTAAATCCATTTTGCTAAGATTACTTCACTACTTAAATTAAATTAAGATTTATTTGGTATTTGTCATACATTGTGAATTTTGATATCCCATTTGTTAATAAATCGTCCATACTAACCTGCTATGACTGCATAGAAGTCCCTGTCTGATACGAGTTGACTGAGCCCTTCACAGTCCACCTGACACAGCTCATACTCATGAAGGTAGAGCCTCAGAGCTTCCTCCAGGTGTTTAACACTGCTGCTGTAGTCGCCTGAACTGATGAGGGTCACTCCTCTCAGAAAGGAGGCCTACAAAAGGAATTGTTGATACGGTCAGAGGAACCTGTGCAAGTCGGCACCAGTAGCTGGTTTGAGGGAGAAATGTAGTTCGGATGTTTTCTGACTTTTTCTGTAGTAGTGGTTTTGCACAGAGATTGGATATTGAAATGATGAATTAATCTGTGTGACTATATTATGCTGTGTTTCCTATACAGAGCATGTTTTGTGAAGGACCGAGGCGAGGCTGTCCTCACCTCATACGGTCGTTCTTCCTGGTCGATGAGGTAACCGCTCAAGTCGTACTGTTTCTTGTATTGCTCCATGAGCTGGAGCATGTCCTGGTCCTCAGGGTTCCTCTGGAGGAAGGTGTAGGCACATGGGACAGCCCTCTGCAGGTCACCTAGCTGTACAAAGTGAATGATCTCACTATCAGGTTTTTGTTTCTTGTCTTTCAACTTGAATTGAACTGGTGAAGACAGGAGGTACGTTACAAAATTTCTCATTATTTGTTAATTTTCTTTGTTTACTGTTGTTTTGGAGCTTTTGCCTTTGATAGATTTATGTATGAAGGACCTAGAGAAACCCCTATTGATTTTATGATTCCCAGTTTGTTGGTAATCCTTGAATCCCCTCTCAGGGACTTCTGGGACAAGATTGTGCATCTAATTTGTCATGAATAAAGTTGACCATCTTTCAGGATTGGTATGGCTGTAATGTCTTGGATTTCAAACATAGTATGTCTCACCCGGAAATAAGCAAAGTGCAGATATCTGTATGGAGATCTTCTATCGAAATCCTCCTGGATGTTTCTGCCGGGGAGAGGGAGCTGCAGCGCGGGGAAATGCGCTCTGCACTTCGTCTGACACAAAGCTCTCTTCATAACATGCCAACTGACACAGAGACCCTGGCTTCCTGCACAGGGTGGTTCATCCTGTTTGGTTATTTTACAATGCCGCGTACAATATCTCACACTGTCTTTAAGAAGTCTGTACAAACGCAAACTTAATTCCAAATATTTGATCGATTCAGTCCAGTTCTCTGCTGCATAATTGTCCAAAGCCAGTCCATACGCAGTAGTGAGAGGCATGAGCTCCTCTTGAGGAAAATGTATGAAACTGTAGTTTTCATATTGTGCCTCTGTCATAAAAACAAGGATCAAACAAAGCAATGTCAACAACGCGCCCTCTTTTACACAAAATGTAACCATGATAAAACGGTATCCCTCATACTGCTTCTTCTGTCTTCTGGTGGAAACTCCGGTGTCTGCGTGGTAGTCTGCTGAAGTGTTTAGGGGTCTTTGGGAATTCCGGCATAGGGCCCTGCGGAGGATACTGTCTCAGGTTTCTCAGTGCAGGTCTACAGCTATAGCCACAACTTTTTTTTCATGTGGCACAAGAATAGACGTGCGTAAAGTGATTGCTCATGCGCACTGTGGTTCGGGTGCCATTGGGGGTTGTCAGCCAGGCAGATTCCCATCATTGCAAATGAATGATTGGCATGAGTTTTATATAGTGAGATCACCACACTGTAGCGGGACTGCAGACCAGTGATGCCCTCAGTGAAAAGATGTTTAGGCTGCAATATGCATGTTGCAGTGTAAAATCTGGTTGGAAGCAGGATGGTTTATTTTCTGGAGTTGTGCAGCAAGACGGCACCAAACATCAGTGTTGCAAAGGAATGTAGTTGCCACATTGCGTTACTTTTCTCAAAGTATTACTACGAGTATAATTAAGTTAATGTGTGATTATGAGTGTTATAGTGTGTGTTGGGTACATGTTATGACGGGTTGCAGTCGCTAGAGGGCTCTCTTAGACTGGATATACCGGGGGCAGAGCAAGTGTGGCCCCCGGCTGTTCTGTGTATGTTAACTGGAGTTAGAAAATAAAGCCCGTGAACGAGACCAACGCCTCTGACATCTTTGTGGAGATATACGGCGATATCACAATGAGGCTGCCTGTTTGTCTCCTCAGTCAGGATCGGCAGCTTGTGTAAAAACCGAGAATGTAACTGTTTCCCACTTCTTTAGTTAAATAAACATAAGTGTTATTTGTGGATCTTTCTTCAGATTTACAACAGAAATCCAAAAGGTCCAGATTTGGTCTGTAAATGTTTCATCATTTACTTTTGAACGTTTCCTACAGGCTCCTGTAGCTCAGTGTAATTAAAAGTAAAGTCATTTCCCTCTTGGGCAAACTGAGATTTCTTGCCAGTGGAATGTGAACATTTCCAAAAACCTGGCGGCATCAACAGAAAAGCAGACAATCTCTTGTCTGTCGGGGCACTACGGCTCTGACAGGCTGATCCAGAGGCGGGTCTCTTCAACTGGTGCCGAGGAGTCAAGCCCACTGAACGATGGGCGATGATTTCAAAATAAAAGCAGAAAGTGGACGGTTTTGAAAAGAAAAATATTTAGTTATATGAATGAGCTATAAGAAGCGAAGAGAACGAGCTAAGCATAAATTTTAGACGCATTGTGCACTGTAAATATTTAGTCTTCTGTTAAACACAGAAACAAGAACGTTTTGACAGTTTTATTGCATGCTTTATAATATCAGAATGTATTTATACAAAAACCGTGCGCCGATCGTCTAGTATACTCTAGATCATTTCACGAGTTCCATTTTCCCTTCCAACAAGACAATTTTATTTTTTAAAGGGAAGCAGTGCTGCTGTTTTATCATCGTTACTTTGACAGAGGCGCTTCCCACTCCCACATTTCTTCCCCTCTGGTAAAATCTCTGCAAAGCAACCTGGAGATTGTCCACGTTTACAGCTCAGTCACCGCTGCTCAGCTCCACATCTGCAGCTTCGGCCCTTTGCGCGCACAGGAACACAGGCCTTACATTTATTCCTTTTGTGGCTTTTATTGCCACTGTTCATCGTTTTGAAGCCCCGTAAGTTATTTGATGTGACTCTGTAAAAATGTTTTCCGGATGCTTTGTCTTTTTCCTCCTCATTACATGGCCTCCTGTGGACTGTAATCCCAGTCCAGTGTTAGGAGAAGTAGTCGTGGACAGTTACTTCACCCCGAAAGTCTGTGCCAGAAATGCAAAAAGCGGGGATTATGTTCGCTATCACTATAACGCCACGCTCACCGACGGAAAAACCTTTGATTCGAGGTAATGCCATCCGTTTTATCTGAGTGCATTTGTTGTAGTTTGGTTTCATTTGCTTTGAAAATTAATAATTAGGCTGCACAGGCCCAAAGCCAGATGCTCGAGCGTCATTTACAAATGTAAGAATAATGATGAATTACCTTCCAGAACAACTTTAAGTAGTCAGCTAAGAGACTTCTACGTGCATGCCCAGCAAATATAGACCTACTTCATCCAGAGTTTACATCCTCTTAAAGTCGACCCACTTCTGACATTTTGTCTTTCTCCATCTCAGTCACCAAAGAGGAGCCGCCAAAGTCGGTCTGTTAGGCGAGGGTCGGATCATCGCTGGCCTGGATAAAGGTCTGCAGGGAATGTGTGTGAATGAGCGCAGGACGATCACAGTCCCACCCCAGATGGCCTATGGAAGCACCGGCGCAGGTAAGTGGAAAAGGCCCACAGCTTAGTGGATTGTTCCACAGAAGCGGGGGCTCGGAGTTGTGATGCTGAGTTAATATTTGAAGCTTTAAACAGGCTTCAGGCTCACATGGCGGCCAGATGGCTGTGTGGCACTTATTTTGTGGTTGTTCGTTTGGTAATATTCACCATCACAGCGTGCACTATCACACTTTGTCCTGTTTATTGATTTCCTATCAACATACAGTGCCAATAAAAAGTACCCGCCCCCTTGGATGTTTGATCCGTTTATTGATTTTATAAATCAACCATCGTCAATATAATTTGGCTTTTTGACAGAAAAAGACAAAACCTTTTTTATGTTAAAGTCAAAACGAGTTTCTACAAAGTAACGTCAGTTAAATAAAATATGTAATGGAAAATAAGTGATTGCATAAGTATTAACCCCCTTTAAAAAGTACAACTCATCCCAAGGGGAGCTTGTGTTTACCAATTAAAATAGTTGTTTAATTTAATTTAAGCAGACATTTCACCATGCTCTGATGTCACAGAGGCTCTCGGTGAAGCTCTGACCCTGTTTTCAGGTGACGCGGTTCCTCCAGATGCTACTCTTGTGTTTGACGTCCATCTGTTGGATCTGTGGAACAAGGCCGACCTGGTTGTCACCAAGACCATCACCACGCCCAGAGACTGCAAACGCTCTGTGATGCGCACTGACTTTGTGCGCTACCATTTCAACGGCACTCTGCTCGACGGGACTGTCTTTGACTCCAGGTGAAAACTGATTGTGATGACTGTTGGTATTTAATGGAGAGGTTTCTTGTCCAAATTAGATACTGAATGATCTTACAAAGTGGAGACCTTGGTATGAAACAGTACTAGTTTAGTAACTGTACCCCTTAAAAACTGTCACATTGTGTGTGTGCCATAGGCATTGAAACAAAGCCCCATCCAAATGACAGCTCTTGTGTGTTTGCACTGTCATCCAGGTATGTTGTCTGTGTGAAGTTATTTTTGACTTTGCGCTTGTATGAGCCCTACGCAGCTACACCAGGAAGCAGACCCACAATACCTTAGTGGGTGAGGGTTGGCAGATCAAGGGTATGGATGAGGGCCTGCTGGGCATGTGTGTGGGAGAGATCAGAAATATTATCATCCCACCCTTCAAAGCCTATGGAGAAAAAGGATCAGGTGAGTACTAATGACAGCAGAAAAGAAAGCAATCAAATTAAGAAGAGGTGATTGTGGATTTGGTGTTTCTCCTTTGCAAATGATTATCCAAACTTCAGGAGCTCAAACAAGTCAAATATTTCCGTTAGACCTCAAGGATGCACACAGTGAGGTATGGTGATGATGTAAACAAAACGTTTATTTTCCTCAGAGCACCTTTAAACCAGAAATACAATAACCCAATTTCAGGCCAAAGCAAAAGATAAGATAAATAATCCCATAAACCACCGATTTAGAAATGTAACAAGTAAAACCATTATCAAGATTCTCATGTATGCAAATGTTTTTTTCCCCAAATATTTAATATTTTTTAAATATTAAATGTTATCACAGCATAAATGCAACATACAAAATGTTAAATCATATACAGCATAGACATCCAAAGCACACATCTTCACTCTGCATCTAAAATTTGAATATTTAGTTCTGATTTACATTTTCCCTCCATGTATAACATTAAGAATCATTTGCATTCCTCTACTGTTTGGTAATGACCTGAGGTATATCCTGGTCATATGCATTCATAATAATTGGAGTTATACCCTTTGTATCTGTGTTGTGGTCAGGCCATTGGTCCTCAATTGCAATTGTATCTAAAATCTTTTGATTTCTCAGACCATATTTTACCTTTAGTTAAAAATGGACGGTTGTTATGTTACATTCTGTTCAGTAAGGAGATCAGATAAGTATAGTATTTTGTTAATGCTGTGCATAGTACTTGTGCAGTAAAGAGAATGCCCCTTTTACCAGCAACTACATGTAAAAACTAATTCCTTTAAAAGGAACTCACAAATAAAACACTTTTCTCTAAATGTTAGTAGAAGTATTCCCTACCTCTTGCTCACCAGGTACAGAGATTCCCTCCCAGGCGACTCTGGTGTATGACATCCTGCTGGTGGACATTCATAACCCGAAGGACAACATCACTCTCGAGGACCAGGTGGTGCCCAAGTCGTGCACTCGCAGGTCTGTGGTCGGCGATTACATCCGTTACCACTACAACGGCACCTTCCTGAACGGAGTCACCTTCGACACCAGGTGAGCTCAGGTTACACTGACAATGAAGATGGTTGCAACTGAGGAATTTCTCATCTTTTGACGCAAATATTTTTGCCATTTGAAAAAAATGTGCTGCTGTCCACAGCTACCAGAGGAACAGCACGTACAACACCTACATTGGGATGGGGTATGTGATTGCGGGTATGGACCAGGCCCTGCTGGGAGTCTGCACTGGGGAGAGGAGGAGGGTCACCATCCCCCCACACCTGGCGTACGGAGAGCAAGGAGCAGGTGAGTTACTGTAGCTTCACCTGCAGCTTGTACCAGGAAAAACTTCCCCAAATTGACTTTGGCAGATTTTATAAGTTAGTTCATTTGCTTACATCTGCATTGTCACACTACTCAAAATCTTTGGGGAGTACCATCTTCTGTATGGTCCCAATCAGAACGTTGAGTCTGAACAAAACATGTAATGAAGTGGGTACTTCCCACATGGGTAACTGTGATCTTTCCAGGCAACGTCATCCCTTCTTCAGCTGTGCTGGTGTTTGACATTCATGTCATCGACTTCCACAACCCCAGCGACAAAGTGGACATCCAGATCACCTACAGGCCTGAGGTGTGCAACGACACAACCGCAGAGAATGACCTCGTCCACTACCACTACAACTGTACCCTGGTGGACGGCACGCTGCTCTTTTCCTCGTGAGTCACATAGATATGCTCTCATCCCAATCACTGCAGTTTCAGGTGAACAGAAATAAACACGCATTACATTCCCACTCTGATTTGTCCAATATATGATAAATGTTATCCCCAGACACGACTATGAGGACGTTCAGCAGACCGTGCTGGGGTCGGACAAAGTGATTGACGGGCTGGACGAGGGCCTACGAGGCATGTGTGCAGGAGAGAAGAGGCTGGTAACAGTGCCTCCTCACCTGGGCCACGGGGAAAGGGGAGGTGAGACTTCAGCTGTACACTCACAACAGCCAGGAACCATCACACACTGCCACACTGTACTCTTATCTATCAGGTGCAAGCAAGAAATCTCATTTATTAGGCTACATCCCAAACATACAAACTGCTTTGTCTGCTGAAGTTAATCTACACTTTGATTTCATGGTTCCATATTAAGATTTCCATGTCTAAATAACTGTTTACACTGTACCCTGATAGGTTTATTAGAGCTACCCTTCTGAATTTGATCTTTAGTTTTATATTTAAGTTGAAGAAATTATAAAAGTGTTTGTGTCAAAGACGGATCATAGCAATAAAGTGTAGTTGAAACCACATGTTAAGAGGCCTCACACGAGAGAATGTAGAAACAAACTCCCCTACTGTAGTTCAGACAAATAAGTTATGCAGTAGTACACTATAAACAGTAAGAAGCAACCCCAGTCATTTTTCTGGCTTTCTGTTCATTAGCCACTGGTGTGCCGAGCAGCGCAGTGCTGGTCTTTGACATAGAACTGGCGAGCTTCGAGAAGGGAGTCCCACCTGGTTACCTGTTCGTGTGGCTTGAGGACACTCCTGCAGACCTGTTTAAAGCAATGGACACCAACAAGAATGAAGAGGTGCCCCAAGAGGAGGTAAGACAGAGACACAAAACAATGAGAGTGACAACCCTCATGGTGTGTGTACTGGGCGGCCAGTGGATTTTCATTTTGACATGAGAAAACCAAACTCAGGAAATGAACTATTTCACTCTGACCTTATCTGTTTTTTAATAAGTAATATTTTTGGCTCTCTTTAGTTCGGGGAGTTCATCAAGCTGCAGGTGGCAGAGGGCAGAGGTCGTATTAAGCCTGGACTGAGCATGGAGCAGGTCGTTGTGGACATGTTCCAGAACCAGGACCGAAACCGAGATGGAGTGATCACTGTCGACGAGCTCAAACTGAAGGTAGATGAAGATAAGGAAAGGGAACAGGCGAAGCACGAGGAGTTGTGATGAGTACACGAATGCCTTTGTCTCAGGGATAAACCCCCACACTTTAAAAACAAGAATGAGAGACTTTTCCCCTACAGCAGCGTGATCTAATATTGGACAGTTTTGTCAGAAATGACAAGTGTGCAAAAAGATGTGGTGCCTTTTGTAATTTTGTATGTTTGACAACTATTTCCAAAAACCAAACCAGCACCTTCATTTGTCCCTCAGAGCTATGTTAATTAAAATGTAAGATAAACAGTTATTTTCATACTTGCATCTCTACAAAGGAAAACAGTGCACACATTTATGATAAATACAGGTGCAGTAACAGGCCTTTTTTCACAGCAGACATTGGGTTGTCACAGTAGAAAAAGCACAGGTGTAGCTAACATTAACCAGGGTTCCATTAAGTGTCCAACTATACAGCACGCACAATACAATGACCCCGGAAATGGCTTACATAAATAGAATGTAGCCATTGTGACTGTTATCAGTTACACCTGTGCTTCTCCTACTACGATCTCAAAATATCTGATGTGAAAAAAAGTCTACAGTCTCATTAGCAGCTAATATCTTATGTTTTCCTGGCATTTCTTAAAACTACGTTTTGGTGCAAAATGCAGAGTCGCAGTACTGCAGCTAGCTCAATGTCAAACGATAAGGCCAGGAATTTTCTATATTAACAGTATTTTAAAACAGAGTCGAACCAGCATTGATTTGTATTGACTCTTGACTAATGTCTGCCAGTCCTGGATCAGCTTATTCATCTGTGCCATAGACCTCCATTGTTGTTGTTACACAATTAAAAACATCAGGGAGAAACACCGCTGCACTGGGTGACATGTTTCCTTATTATGAAACACAAGACCATGATATTTAAAAAAAAAAAGTTTCCCCAAAGGTTCCAAACAACCATAACTTTTTATAGCATCAGGAGGCAATAAAAAGTTTAGACTACAGAATTAGTACAACAGCTTAAAAACTAGTAGCACTGCTGTCAAGCTGCCTTCTGCAAGTAAACTGATGAACCATGTTTTAACTTCAGCATCAAATACTTGACTTGTACACACAAGAACAGTAAGTAAAAGACTTTGCAGATAAATAGTGTTAAGGTGTTACACCTATCAAACATTGTTGCTGGGTGTATTCCAGGTCTTTGAAAAGAATATCAGACCTGAAATAGAACGTCTCATCTATAGAAAAACTGCCTGCACACCCACAAAGCAGTTAAGGGGTTTTTCGAATACCAAGAAGATTATATAGTCACCGGCCACTTTATTAGGGACACCTGTACATTGTATGCACTTCAGTACAACACTTCCACCTTAACATCTGTGTTTATGAAGCTCACAATGTTCCAGTTTTTGGTGAAATTGTCATAAATATATAAATTCAATGATATGTTTATTATTGAGATCCTAGTTAATGGTGATGTACTGGACTAGCAGTCAGTGATACACAATTAAATGTGCCAAACATTTAATATTCTGATCCTCTCATGTATGTAGCTGGAGAGGACAAAAATATGGACACCTCTGAATATAATGTCCATTAAAATACCACCTTTAACTATGACTGTAAATATTTACATGTATAAGGGAACGGGCGAGGCACAAGGAGTTGTGCACATTGTATACATTTGTCTTCTTGGCAGCCGAGGAGCCTCTTTGCTGCTTTGTCAGCATGTGGACAGTTTTTCTATGAACAGCCTATGAGAAAATGAGTCAGAACAGTGACTAAAGAAATGAAAAGACATCAGTTAAGTGTGACTCGCACCAGTAACCATACCAGTGGACTCAAGTTAAAGATCCCAGTTTCCAGGTCTGGTCTGAGGTAAGTGAGGTTTGCTGTATGAGACTGTTCTAAACCCAACACTCAATAGACTGAACAAGTCCATCTGTGTATTTTTGTCAAAGTGCCCAGTTCCTCCTTGTGTGTCTTACTTGTCTCTTAATGAGGTAATGTATCTGAGGATGGTGTTTGGAATGTCCATCACCAGTACGATGTCAAAGGAGTTGATGTTCGTCTGTTTTCTTTCTTCCACCTGAGAGGCACAGGACAGACAGAACACAATTTCCATAACTCAGTGTGGTGCTACAAAAGGACCAAATTCAAGTTTGTTATATGTGGACAGACCTGGTCACTGAGAAAGCTGGTGGTCAGGATGTTCTGGGGCTCGGAGACCCCCTCAGCCATGGTCAGGTTGTCCAAAGGGTCTCACCGCAGGAGCACATTGGCTCGACCCTGCAGCTCCCCGAAGCCAGCTACGTGTGACAGCGCACCGTCACTCTTGTTATAAGTGTGGATCAGCTGGCCTCTGAAGGCCAGCAGGACCTCTTTATCAACAAGACAACATCCAAGAAAGGTTCTTTCTGAATGAAGTTGGTGGAGTAAAATAAGGTTGATCCTTGTAATTTGGTACAAAAATCTACTGAACTACGAGTGCTGAACTAAAAATGGGGGTTAGTAATTTTGATCCATTACTAATCTGAAGCCTCTTGGATGAGAGGTGAAACGTCTTCGATCTAGAAATCCAAGTCCAGTTGATTTTTTTCCTAAGGTTATTTCGGTTTACTATGACCTGGATGACTGAGAATCTGCACAGACATATTACTAATCTGTGTTTGCAGCTGGTAGGAAATGTAACATGATCCAAAGAACACATCTAAACGGGCTTTCTGGTGAATAGTAATATGAGACAAACACCAATAATACAGCTCTGATTAGATTAAATTTTTAAAATTCTTAGTCTTTTTGCTGCAAAGGTCATGACAGTCCTGTTTTCAGTCATTAGTGTGGCTCTTGTTTATAAAGTTTGTTTGGCCTATAATTACATTGGAATCTGAATGTGATTTAAACATTGTATTACTGTTCATCATGCCTTGAAACCAATAAACTGGTGGGGAAAATGACAGCAACCCAGGGAGAATCATACTTGTTGGCTCTTTACACTGACATTACCCATTAATGTGTTTTACATACACCAATAAGGTTTGTGATGGTACAGTGGATGATTTTCTCTGCTTGTTAAAAAATTAAACAGGTAATTTCATGCAATAACGAACATGATATAAAATGCATGTATGTTGGCGATGATGTGGACATTTGGATGGAAGACGTGGTTCTGTTGGATCACCTCCTCCTGGACATCTCCAACACCAGCTGAGCAGACTGCCAAAAATCACTTTGTAGCCACCCGTAAACACACACAGTATTCACACATGTATCAGTGACAGTCTGAACTGAGATATTTGCAGTAATTATGTCAAAAGATGACCAAGTTGAACATTATTACAAATTAAATGAATAAATTTCTGCACATCTGTGCCTAAGCAACTACTGTAGATTTTTCCCATAATCTTTAGTATAACTAAATGCAATGTAAAAATATCAAAACAAAATGTTACTGATGCTCAGCTCGTGTTTAAATCTGTTTTAGCTAGTAAAAATAAATATTTTCATAGCTGACCACCTCAAATGTTTTCATTTTTTATGTATGACAAATCAAACTAAAATGTTTGTGCTGCCTTATTCATTCACATGCCTTGAGTAAAATGTAAAATGACAAGAGTCTATGGGTTATTACATTTGTAGGTGTTACTTGCGAACAGATTTTTCCTAAGTAGAATAAAGGTACTGGTTAAGATTAGTGACACAAATTTTGAGCAAATATTTTTAATCAGTAGTCAACCACATTAACAATCACTTATCAGTTAATTTATGAGATGCATTATTCATCATAAAACAGTTAACTATCATGATTTATATTCACCGTAAAATCCAAGTAAATTGGGGATTTAAAGATCAAGTACACACCAAATTACTGATTTACGAATGGAATGACAAAATAATGAAAATCATGGCAATATGAAATGCAACTGATTTAGCGTTCATTTGAATTTTTCTATCAAAATAATTCAAACCAAACTGAGGATTGAATTGTCACTTTGAATATTGAATTGCTTTATGGCCAACATGTAACCCATTAAACAGTAAGAGGCGCCATCTGGTGGTGTCACCAGGTTACATGGCTCAGTGGTTAACACCAACAAACTGTAAATTCTTACATTTATATCTGTACAGTATTTATTTTTATACTTTTTTTTTCATACTAAATATTAGTGGTTTTAGATTTTGTTTAAAAAATGGTAGGAATAAGCCATAGGTTTGCCTATAACATGTCTTGTAACTTTTCTTTTTCCTGTTTCTTCTCCTCAGCACATAGTAAGGCTGCCCTTTAGTGGTGGCACACAGCATTACACCAGTTTTAATAAGTGTGACCCTGCCTGTGTTACTGCCTGCTAGTCAAATGAATGGCAATTTAATGGTACAAATAGCAATGTATGTACATGGTCACAATTTTTGTGAGCATGTGTAGGGATGATTTGTACGTAAAAACGTTTTTGAACGTGTGAATAAAATCTGTAAACTGTTACACAAAGACACTGAAAACAAGCTGTGAACATCCGTGTACAGGCAGAAAGTAGCAAGTAGCAAATTCCACATAAATCTAATTTCCGGAGTACTGAGGTTTAGTGTGAATCACATCTGAATCTGATTGGACAACGACAGTCCAATCACAGAGCAGAATCAAATTGTCCAATCAGGTGGTAGCTGGATTCTTCAAGTTAGTCTCCGGTGGTAGGTCTGTAAGTTTGGTTGTAGTGGAGATTCAAGACAGATGACAGTAAGCGCTGTTCTACTACTCAGGTGGGTCACATTAAAAATTGTAGACAATCACAGTAAACATTGCATGTGTTGCTTTCTGTATGTAGGCATCGCGCAGGTGCTTCGCTGTTATCACAGTTGTCCAAATTTATGTTTTCTATTCCAGGTGGGATACTTTATCTAGCGTTAGCCGAATGCTAATGTAGGACGTTAGCAAACCTCTGCCAGCAAGAACATTTTCAAGGGTAACTTTAGCCGTCCAGTACTCTTTTGCTTTGCTCGAGCCTGTCAATTGTCAAGCTAATTGTGAAACCTGCTCAATCTAGGAGGACATCTCTTAGAGTTGACTTGTAACTTGTTCCCTGTTGGATGTGTGGTCTTGTAGATGACAGAACTCCTCTAGTTTTACATGCCCCATTAATGTAAATGTCTTCTATATTTAGTATTAATCGTGCAACTCGATAAAAAACGCCGGCCGGTTTTGACCTCACCGGGTCTTCATCAACACGGAAACTTAACAAACCGTTTGCACCTGTATGTTTCCGCCCTGATGAAGACCCGGTGAGGTTTAAACCGGTCTGCGTCTTTTTACTGAGATGCCTTGTTACAGCTAAGAGTGCTACATTCAAAATGTTGCTTAAATAATAGCGCAAAGGCATTAGTAGAGAAATATATCTAACTTACCAAAAGGAGTCACTGTGCAGAATAATAATAGAATGCATTTTCACATCTATGTACAGTATATTATCATTTCTGGTGCATTATTGTGTTCGTCATTTTAATGTTGTAGCTGACAAAGGTAGGGATAATTTTAACTGTTAAAATGTGAACGTCTGGTGAGTAGCTTGTAAATTTCTCACCAGAGATTACTGAAGTCTCATGATTAGGCTTGTACCGTATTTCTTTTTATTTAATTCTGAAAAGAAACTCTAAACTCAAGTTATCGAATAAAACTAGTGGAGTAAAAAGGTATGGTAAGATGTGAAGAAGCAGAAACAAAAACATTTGTGGTTATCCACTTATCAATGTGATAGTCACCAATTTGTAACTAGGGCACTCATTTTCTATCCCTCAAATGAGACTGTGTGCTTGTAACTTTAAGATAAACAAAACAGCACATTTCAAAATAAAAGTGTTACTTTATCCTTACTGTAATCATTCAAATTTAGATCGAGACTTCACAGTCCACACAGATCAACTAAATTTGGTAAAGTCTAATGTGCAGGATTTATGTGTAAATAGGTTTCCTGCTTACCTCTATTTATTGCCTGCAATGTTGATCTGTGCAGTCCATTCACTCACGATGTGGAATCCAGCGAGCCGGTTCGGACCGTCCGCTCAGAATTCAGCCAGTTCCTGAAGGTCACGGCACCAAGTTGTTATA